AAAAACAACACCTTGGTAAGGATGTGAAGTGCTCCGTATGCAAAGAAAATGAACCGAAAATGCTAGAGGTTCCTTTTCAGCGGGCCAATGCGTTCCGAATGCACGTGTCATAAGCTCTGCTGTTGGCGTTGTCCGAAAAATACCAGTATTGCCGGCTAATTTCCCAGGTGCATGCTTGCTTGTTAAATTGATGTATAGCAGGTATAGCATATAGCAGCAGCAGGCCAAGTCCGAGCCCAAGTCGGAGTCAGGGGCGTGCGGTGAGAGGGGGCCAAAGTGGCAGGCCATGTGGCAAAAAAGGGGTCTGAATGGGGGAGGGGGAAACAGAAGGGCAGCAGCATAGCTGAAAATATTGTGAAAACGACATTGGCCTCCGTTCACAACAATGGCTGCAACGGAGGCACCTGTACAGGTCCCTCTCCTCCAGCAGAACCCCCTTGCCCAACCCGACCATCCTCGTCCGGTATTTGCGGTCGGGTTTTTGACACAAATTTTGCCGATGACATGTTCAATACACAAAGCTGCGTGCTTAAGTTCGCTCATCCGTATTGTTGTACCATGGAGCTGGAGCCCCGACTACATGTAGTCCTCAATATTTGCAGCCAGCACGTGTTTAGGGTTGCCACAGCGACGTTGTACGCCGTGTGCGACTGGGTGTGGGTTGCCCACTTGGGTACTTTTAAGGCGTGACTATTTTGTCAGGTCAACAAAAGGGAAAAGGTTTATTTATTTTTAAAACTCATGTTTTTAAAATACTAATTTAATTTTTTTTTAAAATATAAATACAAATTATTTAATTGATTTTTTCGATAAATTAAAATTTTAATTTTAACCAAAATGAATTCAATAATTATTGTATGTTTCGTCATTACCTTTCTAAAACAAATACCTAAAGAAAATAAAATGTTTGACTTTTTCAAATGATTGAAAGTTTTAATATTCAATTACATTTTGGTTTATATGTATACCTGGCAACACTGTTTTAACTCCTGTGTGTACATGGCTTCACTTCATTTATCACTGCGAAAAAAAGAATGGAAAAAGTGCACAGCGGAAAAGCCACCATTTTCAGTTCTGGCTTCACGCTTTAAAGTATCTTGGCCGCTTTAAATTTGCATTTCAGTCTGTCAGCGGGTGTCAAATAAATTTGACAATATCTACATTTTTCCTGTGCCTACTTCCGTAAGCCACATTATCCTATTAGGGGATTTAATGGAGTCACACACGCGCGCAACTTTGTCTCATCATAAATCTGAGAAGCCAGCACAGCGGGTAATTCTCTGTGGAGCGTAAAAAATGGCAGAGGATGGAAAGGCAGGGGGGGGCAGGGCATTGTTTGATATATTTACCTCATATTGGATATTTATGCCTTTCACTTACCAGTTACCGTATGGATTTATGCCGCAACGATTATGGCCAATGGCCAAAGTTGCCACAAACAGCCAACTTCACCGAAAAACCCTCAAATTAGCCGAAAGCTTAAGGAGTGGCCGGGCAAATGCGTGTGGCATTTAAATTATTTTATCTGCACCGCAAAAATTTATGAATTTCACAAAAGTTTGTAATAACACCCAAGGGACCGCTTTTGGCTGCTCTGCCAGTGAAAATATATCGTCGGCCATTTGGCAAACAAACTGCGAGTAAGTTGCCTCGTTGAGATATTCAAAAGTGGACGTCTCGTTTCATCAATGTTCTTTGGGGTTTTCCCGAAGTGAATTTCGCTTAATTTGGTTTTGGGGAAAATGTGTGATTTCTCTGACTGAAAAAGTTTTGCTCCTGCGTCGATGGAAATCGACCGGCAATCAATCTTGGAATAACTTTCACCAAAGTCGGCTTTAAGTTTGCCCACTTGAGACGATTTAATTGGTTGTGCTTCTACTCTCCTTTAACCCTCTTTTAACCCTCCGGAGCCTTAGTTCCCGAATGCATCCTGGGGTTGTCACAATCTATCCGGCAATTTTTTTCGATTCGTTTTGGTGCGCATAGTTTTGCATCTGGTACATACCGCAAACAATTTTTTTTCGATTTTGAATGTAGTTTGAATGTCCTGGAGAGCACATACACTAGGAGAAAATATTGTTAATTTTTTTGTTAAAATTGCAAGAAAATTTATCTTTGATCTCAACCAATAATGTTAGAATTATAAATGTTTTGAGGTATTTTAATTATGCATAATTTTGGATCTATATTAAAGGATTATTTGAAGTAATTTTATTTTAGGACACCTTATTCTAAATGAAAAATTTTAGTTTTGTTACCAATATTTAAATACTCGACCAACGGCCTCCTAATATTTCAAAAATTTTAAATAAATTCGTATCAAAGAAAAAATTTTAAAATAGGTCCATTTGTTTCCTCTGCATCACAGCAGCAGTTCAGAAATAATAAAATTCATGTTCTGACATTTCTCAGCAGGCTTGTCACACGTGTCGAAGCATTGCAGAAATCACGGAGCCCCCCGGCTCCTTTTCCTCCTTTTTTATGATGAGCCCCCGTGGACAATTCAAATTGTTCATTTGCACTCCGTATATGTATGGACCATATTCAGATAGCCTGTTCTATCTCCACTGCTGTCAGAGGTTAAAGCCTAATGGTTTTTCCTTTGCAACTTTGGCAAATGCTTTGAAAAGCAATTAGTACTGACAAATGCGTGCCTTGACATTGCTCGAACTGAAGACATCGCCTGTCATTGCGTTTAAACGATTTGTCATGACAGAAAGACGAAGCGTTTAATAGGTGGACAAAATTATGATTGATGGGCGTCCGAGGCAAAAGACTATTTAATATATTATTTAAACTGATTTAATTAGAACAGTGCTTATTTACTTTTTGGAGATTCCCAACGCACGTATCCTAATTATAAGTACTGTTACTTAAGGATTCAACATTTGGTTATTCATATTTCATTAGGGTTTATTTTATTTTGAATTGAAAAGTTTTTACAAAAATGTATCAGCATGACTAAGTTATACCTTTTTTTGAAGCTGTACATTTTTATTTTTCCTGCAGAAGTTCTACAACAATTTTAAGCATGATTAAACTGAGCTTGGAATCTATAAAGCTTTCAGGAATTATTTAGCCATGCTGATCATCACATCAGGCACATAAAAGCCCGCTACCAATGAGCTAGTTAACCTGGCTGAAATTTAATTTAATTTCGAAATTTTTCCGCACTCAACGTAAGTAAACCAATAAAGGCGAAGGAGCAGCCTGAGACAGAGGAAGGATCTGAGGGTCCTGCTCCTGCTGCTGCTGCACTGCACCAAAGTTGAGTAAGCTTACTGATTAAATTTACACATCGAACCGCAACTGTTGCACACTGGCATACGAAAAAGTAATAAAAAGCAGGGAGTTGGGGCCAATTTTATATCCCCAACAGCGGCGAAGGAACAAAGCTGAGGAAGTGGAAGTCGCAGCTTCTGTGCATTAAAGTAGGAAATCAATTGATGGTTGCCGAGCAGATGGGAGCCCTTTTTTCTTTCGAAAATTGCTTGTAAGTGGGTGGGTTGTAAAAGTTTTTATAACCGGACTGAGTGCACGCTGCGTATGAGCAATGCCAGCTGCTCGACTTCGAGGGCCCCTCGATGCACAAAATTAGGGGAAAGATGGGGAAAAAAATAGTCAAATTTCATATCCTCCGATCGAATATCTCCAGTGGCAATTTAGGATTTTTCCTTGGCCCATCTGTGGGCGGGATCGCTCACTTCAAATGTTAATCAGAACCGGACAGGCTGGGCCCTTCTTCCTTCCGGATGTGTCAAGTGTAGCAATATTGATGTGCAATCTCGAGAGCTGCAACCGCACTGCTCAATTTGCATGCGCCTGGGCCCTCGACTGCTGTGCACTTTGAAATGCATTTTCAATGCTTCGGCCGCACTTTCCACTCGGCCCGCCAGTGGATTGGAGGGCCCTTGCCAACTCCATGCATAAATTCAAATGTTTTTCCGACCAACAAATGGCAACCGGACCCGGCCTGGACATTGTCTCAAAGATATATGAATCGGCAAACAAATGGTTAGCAATTTTTCACAGCGCCACATTATGCATCGAGTGGGCTGCGATCAATAAGCCCGGCTTGCATAATGGATACACCACATACTGTGCATACTGATTCGATTTAAATAGTCCTAAATTTAATTATAACATCGGAACAAATGGAGCTTACTATCCTGAACAAGCTGTATGACTTTAAATCATAGCAATAAATAAAGTCAAATAATGAAATTGATATAAAAAATGGTATATTTGCAAAAAAAATAAATAATCCTGATTAAGGCAGCCAAACATATAATTAAGTCAATTTAACTTATATATGTATGTAAGCTTTTTTGTATTTTACTTTGGTTTGTTTGACTTTATTTTATACCACAGTAATGAGCAAACATTATTTTTGCCAAAATGTTTTGAAATTTCTGCTAGTTTTAAGTCATTCCTAGAGTGCTCATTGATTTGTATCAAGAAGCACCATATTTGCATAGCTTTACAGCACGTACTGTGTAAATGTGGTAAGGCAAAAAGCATACCAAATTAATCGACATTACTTCCACTTCAATTACTTTTAAAAGGATCGACTGTCCCCATGTCCCTTCGCTAACCAACCTCGGTGAGCTAAATCCAAGCGAACTGATGCAATCAGCAACAATAGCAATCCGAGTGCCGTATTCCAGCCACCGCGGAAGCGGAAGCAATTTTCATTTGCGTTGAGTTTGGTTTTAGCCTGGTGTCGTCCTTGCGGTCGCTTAGGAAACGCTCCTCGGTCTCGGCGGAAAAGCGAGGGGCGGAAAAGCCAGCACATGCTCGGCGACATGTTACCAACATAATTTCAGATGCCGCACAATGGGATAAGATAGATGGGGTGGCGCCGGGCCAAGAACGGAAAACCGCAAATGATGCAAGTGTGCAGTGCAGTAAATGTGAATTTTTATTAAATAAATTGCTCGCAGGAAGACCTTACCATTTCTGCGGATTCCATTTCGGCTTCAAGAATAACACGTATCTCCTTTTGGTTTCATAAACAGTCACACTTTATTATGGATTACGGTTATTGCTGTGTAAAATAAATACAATTCTCCGACTTAAGAATACGTGAAAATGCCAAGTTCTGTTATTGATTCGAGGGGAGAACCGAAAATCGTTTGGGCTTCTAGTTGGGTTTCATTCAAATGATTGCTGACCTCGGCTCACTTGAGTTGAATTTGGGTTCAGAACGATATATCTCGTTGACATGCCTTACTAGCTAGGTCTATATAGTTTTTTATGTGTCTGGGAAATCTATGCCTCTAACTACGTGCTATATTAATGTTTACTTTTAAATTCTCAAACAGCGGCTGCTCAATTTTGAATCGCATTGGCCAAATATACAGGTTTTTTTTATTCATTTTCCATTCACTTACATATAATACACTCAGTTTTCATGGTTCGCTTGCCTTAATAGTTATGTACAGAATACGCTCGGTTTTATCACATTTGAAATGTGTCGAAATGAATCGTGGTTAGTGTTTTTACCTTAATTTAGACCAATTTTGTATATACAGATGCGCATATAAAAAGAAAACATGAAACTTAAGTTACAAGTATCTTAGTGAAACACTGGTGAAGTTCGTTAATTGTGAAAATGGCAGTATGGTATAAACCCCATTGGGGAAATGGCCAGGCCCAATTTGATGATGATCGTCTGGAGTCTGGAGTTGGGGAGTGATTAATGAACTTAATTGCGAACTCAAATCCTAATTACTGCACTTCGATGTGACCCCGCATGGCCATTAATTATACGCCCCGTCGTCCTGTGGCAGTGCAAAACTGCAAATCCAACTCTCCCGCGGCTTACGTCGGTGTCGTGCCAACTGTTTGCTGGGCAAACTTGATGGCCGACGTGGACGCGGTTGCTCCACTTGGGCCCCTGGGTCAGTTGACGCTGACCAGTGGCTCCAGCGTGCTGCTCAGATGCACCAGCTGCTGTTGCACCTCCCGCAGGCTGCTGAAACTGCCCTCCATCTGGTGGTTGTGGTGGTGCGGTGGTGGCGGCGGTGGTGGCAGCACCACAACCACAGCCTCGGCGGGAGTGGGCATGGGCATTGGGGATGGTGCTCCCGGCGGAATAACAGTCGCCGCCGCGGCCACCGCTGCCAGGGTTGTAGCCGAGCTCGGCGAATGCGACACGCTGTACATTAGGCTGCCCATATTGGGATGGGGATTGGGATGCGGATGAGCAGGCGGTGGCATCAGCTCGTCAATTGTGCAGACGCGATCGTCGACGGGAAAGGTGAAGTTGATTTCCTTGCCCTTGTCCTCGGAGACTCCGTGGACGGGCGTGCTGCCGTTGGCAGGACTCGAACCCAGGCCCTGTCCATTGGATTTCATCCCATTTCCCGCCGCCGCCGCCGGGGAGGTGGCCAGGGTCAGCGTGGTCGTCGTGGTGGGCGAACTGCCATTGCCCAACGTTGTAATCGTGGTCGCCTCCAGATTCTTTTCCAGGCACTTGCTCTCGCCTGGGGAAGACAGCAGAAAAATGGAGAAGAAATGAGAACCAGCTATACAATTCGTGGCGGTTCCAAATGGGATACACTCTGAAAATTTAATTGACACATTATAAAAAATTTTAGTTCAAACTTTAAAGTTTGAACGCTATTCAAATAGGACAAAAAAATATATTTAAATTTTCCTTAGTACATAAAGTATCAGGAAGCGCTTTCTAACATTTGTTTTAAACTAAAGTGATAAAGTAATTTTTGTGTGTGATTCTAAAGTGATAAAGTAATTTTTTTGTTTGATTTATGTTCTTATTTGAAATAATATTTTAATTGAACAAGTAAATTTTTCTTTAGCGTTATCATGTTTCTTACCTAAATTAACACTATATAGGTTATTACAATCGCAAAGGATTTTTGAAAATATTATAGGAGTGTGAGTACCTAAAAATTTATTTTTATTTTCAAAACATTTAAAGTAAAGGACATATTTATATTATTATTAAATTATTTGATATTATCAATTCTATGTTTTTTTAAAAGAAATAATTAGTCAAATTTTGAATATATAATTTTCAAACTTTAAAAGTGGTCGGAACAATAATCGCAAGGTTTTTAAAAATTTTATTCCATTTAAAGTACATGAAACATCAAAGGACTTAAACTTAGCAAATCAAAAATATATTTTTAGTTTAATTAATATTTTCTAAAGTTGTGTTAATTTTTAATAAATATTTTTGACAGTGCCGGGGTGCAAACTAGGGCACCGAACGGCTTCTCAATTCCAAGAACTCCTTTTGGGAGTGTGGGAAATGGTAGCAGTTTTTGCCTGCTGTCAGCTGAAAAATTTCAGTTTTTTTATTCTGGCCCAGCTTTCTCTGGCCCGTTTATCGTGGGAATCGAATTTTTGTGTGCGGCAAAAAGTTTCCGTTGTGGCCGGGCGACAGCCTCTAAGGCCATTTTATTGTTTGTGCAGAAATGCTACAATTGCGTAAATTCAGAAGTTTCCCTTTGTTTTCTTTTAGCTGGCCCTGAGGCTTTTTTGCTCCCATTTTTTCTGCTGGTGAGGTTTCCCTTGAGTGCGTTCTGCTGAATGGCGGATGCCCCAGGGCCAATTCCAGGTGAGCACAAACATTAACGCCGCCCAACAGCAACGGAAGTTGGTCAGTGTGAAATTTATTTATTCCTCCAATTAAGTCGGGGAACGGGACAACTGGGGGGCCCGGCATAATGAAGCACGTTCGTGTAATTAATTAAGTGCGGCGACTTGTTCCTTTTTTAATTTTGTGAATCATGCGCGTGCTTTAGTATCCGGCATATAAATTTCAGGATGTCTTTCGGTCCGCCTTTCGGACTTCATCGCCTGCACTTGGCAAATTGCCCGGAGTTCAAGGCTTAAGGCTCCTCACCTCTCCCGAACTGCAATTAAATTTAAATTCAGGTACTAATCTGTACTTACTGCCACTCAGATGATCCTCCCTCGTGTAGTAACGAGCCCGATTTTTCGAAAAGCAGGCCACCAAAGACAGTATAATGACAGCAATTAGCACAAAAATGATGCCACCCAGAATAGCCAGAGTGTTGAGACCGCCTGTCAGGTAATTGAGGGAGATTAAAGTGTTAAATTTGTAACAGTGCTCTGGTTTAAGTTTCAGTTAATGGAAAAAACAATCAAGACATTTATACAATGTTTAAAGAATATACCAGACTTTAACTATACAAATAAATCAAAGAAAACTTATTCCAGCTGAACTGTTTTTGAATATAGAGTTTCAAGTCTTCAATTTATTTAATAATTCATTGAATGTTCCTTAAGTATGAGCAGTTAAATCTCCATAAATTAAATTTAATGCAATGCAACAATTACTGTTTGAAACTTAATTCAGCTGTAGTATGGAATTGCAATCAATCTATTCTGAGATAATTGTTAATGGTGTTTCCCTTAGGTATGGACATTTAATTTTCTTTCGCTTGAATTTAATACCATATAATCAGTATGTGTGTACTCCATTAACATAGTTTTCAGGGATCCCTTACCGTGTTCAAGAAAGTTATATGAAGTGCTGGCGGCATTCTGCTCCTCGTCGGTGATGAAAGTCAGGCACGTGTGCAGTCCGTTGATGTCCAGATTATTTATTTCTGCACCTCGCAGGCTCTTGGGCAAAAAGCAAATGGGATACGTATCCCATTTCCACTGCAGCTGCACGAGGGGGAAAAAAACAGAGAAATGGGGGAAAACCGAAAGTGAATCAACCCATGGTCGTGTTTTCGTAAGGCATCATCAATCAGCGACGGCTTTGAAAACTAATTGAAATTGAATTTTCGCCGCCGACGGCGTTTATTTTGCCTGCAACTGAAATTCCACTTACTTGGCGCACGACATTTATTAATTTCCCCATGTGACACTCGTCGCATATCAAAGGATTGTTGTCGAGTCGCACATTGCGTATGCCCTGGATCCTTAGGGCCGTGTCCTCGCTGATGCCTTGTAATTGATTCCGGGATAAATCCAAAAACTGTTGGCAGACCGAAAACGGGGCCAGGAAAATGGCCAGAAAAGTTCAATTAAAAGTGCATTACAAATGGATGGATGGTGGGGGGATGTGATGGCGGACGTTTGGGAAACAAAAGTTTAATTTTTATTGGAAAACTCTGCTGGTTAAATGACAATTAGCTTAGGAATACGTATGCCAACACTCAAAAACAAAGAATTGAAGAGGCTTATGAATTTAAAAATGCAGTGGTAGTTTAATTCTTCAGCCTAAGTATTGTAAACAATTTCTGTGAAAAGGTAATTCCTTTTATTTCCAAAGCATTTAATAAAATATGGATTTATTAGTAAATCACTAACTTATTTGGTTTCGTAAAAAAAAATCTCCTTTACATATTTAATTACTTTATAATAGCAAATCCATATTTTTTCACTGTGTAGAATGACAATTAGCTTATGAAAACATATGCCAACACTCAAAAATAAAATATTAATGCCATTTATGAATGGAAAAAGGTCATGTTATAATAAAATAAGTAATTGAAATTTTTCAAAATTATTTAAACAATACTATTTAGAAACTAATTTCTTTAATTTTTTCTAACAAATACCTTTTGATTTCTTAATAACTCAATTTAAGTAAGCCCATGTTTTTCGATGGTGTAGAAAACTCGGAGAACCAAGCAAAACAATTTGGTAATTTTTGCCGAGCCACAATAACAGGACCCAAATGGCTTGAGTGAAGTGTATACACAATTAAATTCAATTAAAATGAAAGGCTTAATGGCTATAAAATGATTGTTGTTGCCGTTCTGGTTGATGGTGCTGTTGCTGCTGCTTTTGCTTTTGTTGCTGCCCAATAAATTTGCCATAGTCAACGGCAACAATAACAGCAAATTCGATGGCAGGACTGTGGCAACAAAGGATCCCCAGCACGGCACCGAAAACAATCCGCAAGAAGAGTGCAAGGACACCAGTTTTGGGGGATATACATCGTATATAAGGGATATAGAAGAGGGGCTGACTGACGTGGGGCACGTACAAAAACCGGGGTGACACACAGACGAACGGACCGGAGGAACGTGAATCCCTCTGGCTGGAAAACGAAATAAAGCCACGGCTTTGGTCTGTTGTCAGAAATGTATAAACAGAAACGGCAAACGCTAACGAAAACTGCAAATATCTCTTCCGCCACCCTCAATTGCAGTAATGGTACCTGGGCGCTGGAGTTACCCCTGCTGCAGTGCTGCCGCAATGTTTTACAGTGATATATTCTACAAATTGGCCAGAAAGAATCAAGCAACCAACGGACCAGGATGCAGGACAATAGATCTCGGGACAAATGTGTGTGGCATTCCAGGCTAAATTATTGCCTAGCCCTGGTGACTTCTGTGAGTGACTTACCTCCAGCTCTCGACACGGATCGATGACCTCCAGGGCCGTGTTGTTCAAGGAATTGCCCGAGATATTGAGATATCTCAGCTGCTTGAAGGGGTGCAGCAGACCAATGGGCATTGTGCCCATATCGGCAATGGCCAGGTGGGTCAGCTGGGGAATGAGCTGAAAAAATAGTTGGGAAAATGGAAAATAAATATTAAATCGATTGGGTATTTGTCAAGTTTAAGAAAGGAATTAAATAAATATTTAAGGTTCAAGGTTTTTTAAATTTCAAATGTAATTTTAGGTGTGTAAAAGTATGCAACAATATTTTCAAACTCAGAGGAATAAGGAATTAATTCAGGAAGACTGATATACTTTTACTACTGCATACTTTTAGACACCTGAAATTACTTTTAAAGGGGATTTTAATATCCTAGTGGCTTGTGTGGCACCCAATTATATTTGTTTTTAAAAAAGTGTAAGCTCACCTCGAATGTTTCCCTCATTTCCTTGAGATCCATCTGCACATTGCCGCTTATGTTGAGGGTAAGCAGTTTGCTCAGACTTCTAATGGACTGCGGCTCCAGACGCACCAATTTGTTGTAGGACAAGTCCAAGAAGGTCAAGTTGGTCAGCTGCAGGAACGAGTCATTGGGCACTTTGGCCAACCGATTGTACGATAAATCTAAAGTGTTTCAAAAGAACAAAAAACCCCAAAGAAAAAATGGAAAGCCATTCAGAGTTTTTAAAAGACTGCGGAGGAGTGGGTATAATTTCAATGGCGCACCCAAATGATTAAGACTCTTCTGCATGCGAAAGAGTTGGTCCACCACCACGGACAATTGATTGCCATCCAGCAGAACTTTGGTCAGTCGCTTCACATCTCGAAACTCATCCCTGTCAAGGAACTTGAACTGAAAAAAGGGAAAAAATAATTGGAAAAACTCTTTCTTCAGGGAAAGGAAGAAACAAACCTCATTGCGTCCCAAATCCAATTCGCTTAGGAGCGGCAATAAATTGTACATCTGCGGATTGATTTTTTTCAGCTGACAATTGCGGCACTTGAGCACTTTCAGTTCCTGTGACAAAACAAATTATACAGTTTCGCTGTCATAACAAAGCACTCACGCAGATATATATATATATATATAGTGTATAGTAGACAACTCACCGGCACATCGCGGAACACATCCGGCTGTAAATCCTGGAGCGGATTTCCGCTCAGGTCCAGATACTTGAGTCTGCTCAGCATGAAGAAGTTGCGCTGCACGAGCTCCACAATCGAGTTGTCGGCCAAATTAAGACGTCGCAGATCCTTTTGTGGCAGAGAGGCAATTTACAAAGTTTATTACGGCACGCACTGAATTAATAATGTTTTACGATCAGGCACTACAGCTACGGCTAATAATTCATAAATCAGGCAAATATTGCCCTGGTCCCGGAAACTGCCAAAAAAGTTGCAAACGCTGCACTGGATTTTCCTTTGGGTGGGCTGTAGTGGGGTGGTGTTGGGCTTGGAAAAGCGGAAAAGTGCAAAAGGGCGGGAGAGGAAGTCACCAGAGCGCACAGCAAAACAAAATCGAAAGCACATTGAAGACAACGAAGCTAACTTCTGTGCACTTGCACTTCCGCCAGTTGCCGGGGAAAGTAGGAAAGTGGACCAGGAGAACTTAAATTCAAGCACGTAGAACTTTTCCTTTTGCAACACGAAAAACCCAAAAGTAGGCAACAAATTTGCAGCAGCAACAAGGCTATTAAAAATGCCGCACAATTTATTACAAGCCAGCGAAATGTAGTCGTGCAAAAATTGTAATCATCTTTGGAATTAAATTTATTGCGGCTTGATAATAAGTTCCATAATGCTGCTGGTTCCCTGCTTCATACTTTTTGTTTTTCCTGGACAATAAGGGTATACAACTCTATCACTTACGTAATGAGATACAATTTCAAGCACACCGCGAAAATGACAGTGGAAAACAAAAGGCTATCATTCAAAAGTTCGTGCAGTACTCACCGTCAAATGGCGAAAAGTTGAGCTGGCCATGCGTAAAATTTTATTTTTCGATAAATCCAATTCCAGTAGATTATCCTGGCCGCGAAAGTTGTTCTCCGTTATGTTGGTTATATTGTTTTTTGACAGATCTGTAACAGAAGTACATAGTTGAATATGCGGGTTGCTCTGTTGTTCACGGGAATTCAACAATATGATATATGAATACTATTAAAAAAAAGAACTGTGATTGCATAAACAAATATACCAAGAGTATGGCATAAATATCGTTTTCCCCAGAGTGGAATTAAATTCTTTAAGCCCGCTTATGTTTCCGCTTTTATTAAGGCTGCTTAAACAAACCCGAAGTACATTACACATACGCCCCATTGTCTAGCGAAGAACCGGAGCCAACCACGCCCCCTTAAACATTCTGCAAAATTAATTTAAATAGAAATAGGAAATGGAAAAGCAAAGGCAAAGGAAATTCCAATTGTTTCGCGTTGGTTTTTGCAGTTAGCCCGGCAAAAAAAAAATACTGAACTGCAGCTTAACTCTGTTTTTGTAGCATGTGTAACTCCTGACAAGCGAACGAAACACCAGGGCTGCGGGGCCGATCCGAAAAAATAAGATCCAAGCATGTAAATAATTGGAGGGCAGGGCCAGGACCGTAAACCGCCAGCAGGGGGCGAAACGGCGCCCATAAAGCACAAATAAACAAGTTTAAAGCCCCAACGATATCGGGGCATTGCTTTCGTTGGCTTTACACTTGCTTTCTGCCGCCGCCAGTCCAATCTTATTTTATTTTTCGGGCGCTTTTTGCTGTTTGGCGCATCAATTTCAATTTTATTGACAAGACAACAAACGCTCGGTAGGGCGAAAGCGAAGTATTAATGCTCTTTTATATAGTTTTCCCACCATCTGATGAAAACGTCAGAGTACTTCTACCTGTTTTACAGGGCTTAAAGGTTATTCAAGGTAAAACTTTGTAAACTGAATTTTTATATTTAAGACAATTTTAATTTGGATATTACAAAAAATAAAAATAAAAAATATATGCAATTATTGTTAAAAAATTGTTCTAGTAAATTATGTGTTTAAATGTCATGGTTATCTAATATTTATTTTTTATTATTGACCTATATTATTATATTTATAAGAAATATAAGTTACCAAACATAACGTGCTCGGCATTAATGATTATTTATTAATAAAAAATGTAAAGGAATTACTTAAAACAAGTAAATTATGTATTTAATGAAATACAAATGTTTAAATTTATTATAATAATGTAAACATTTTGTGTAAAGCCCACAAAAAGTAGCAACTTTAACAACAATATTATAATTTTAAATGGGTTTAATACCTCGGAATTAATTTCGCTCCAAAAAAACTGCATACAATATGTAAGTGACCCCGTTGAAAATTCAGAATCCTGCGTTATCCTGAGCTGTCCTTTTTCGGCCTGCTCATTTAACGTTTTGCGACGCGTCCGCTGCTTTATTTGCGCTTTCGTTTGCGCTTCGCATTTTACGAGGCTGCAGGACAACCGCATCGCCTTTTCCCCACCCACGCCCTCTTCCTCCGATTGTTCCCCTATAATTTGCATATCAGCGGGTTGGATTTTAAGAGTACGCAGCTGCTTAAATTGAAATCGCTGCCCCTTTCGGATTTATGTCTATCTGGGTGAATTTAAGAGCTTCTGGGCTCGTAAATGCATTGATTACTCACCTAATATCCGCAAATACTTGAGGCCCCAAAACGACTCGGCACCGATTGCCGGCAGATTGGAGTCTGTGATGGTCAGGATTTCCAGTTTCATGAACTGCCGCAGAGCGGGACCGATTGTAATGGAGTTCCGTGGGCCCCGGATGATAATAACCTTTACATCGATGTCCAGTTCGTTGGGCGACATCAGCGAGTTCAGGCCTCCTGCAAAATAAACGGTTAAAACCACAACAGTTAAAAATAGTTGAGGTCGAGTGGCCTTGTCAAGGATGCTTGAACTAATTTTATTATACCCACGGTTGTTAAACAAACTTTGCAGTGAGACTAAAATAGCACACGATTCTGTCGTTCATTATATAACAGTTTGTTTGATTTTGTAATATATTTTTAAAATATTAATAATAAATAATAATAAGTCATTTTAAAATATTCACTTTTAAATTTAATTTTAGGTGTCTAAAAGTATGCAGTAAAAAGGAGAAGTTTTTCTAAACGAATTCCTTGTACTTTTAGGCTTAAAATATTTTATTGCATACTTTTACACACCCAAAATGACATTTAAAGTCCGTATTTCTGAAATGCATTCCTTGCTAAGGATTTTTTTTTTCAATGTACTGCTCCTGGGCAACAAGATCATTAATTGCAGGACCAGCTGGGTTTACCTTCCCTCTGTACTCTTACATTTTTGTATGCTAACAATGTCGGGCATTGGCGTGGCATCTATTTAGAATTTGCCGGGCAACTGCGAGTACAACCAACTAAACGGATCCCAGTCACCATTAACATCGCATTTGTATGCAGCACTATTTTCACTCTTCGCTCACTTCCATTGTGTTTCGCTGGGGCTTCGGATCTGGGCTTTATGCATTTTGCATTTTCCATGGCTGTGCTCTATGAGCATGTGAATGTCTAAGGGCGAAGTTGCATTATAATGCCCTCATTGTATTCGACGGGGTTTTTGCTGTTGCAGTTGTTGCAGCGGTTTTATGTTGGCCGAGCACGCTGCGGGAATTTTCATAAAAATGCTGAGCATTAACACTGATTGTAACATATTTTAACGCGCGCACCCAGTTTTATTTTGTTGCTCCCATTCTGTTTTTTACTTTTCGACATTTTTTGGCGAGGTCGTTGTTGGGATAAAGGATAAGGGTTGCTCATTAGCTTAGCTGTAGGAATTCTAACAAATTGCAGCTTAGAGGAAATTAGTTGAATTTATTACCAAGGGATGTGTAGCGGAAAAATTAAAGGATTCCTCTAAAAAATACATGTTTTTCTCTTCTCGGAAAAAGCCATTTTAAATCACTTTTCTTTAAAAATTTAAGTCTCAGCTCTTAAGTCCTGTTTTCATTATTGGCTTGCACCTTTTATGTATATTTAAAGAATGCGAAATGCCATGCATTGGAACTTTATTCATTCTATTTATTTCAACAAGATTAAACTAAAATCTCGTATCTTAAATCCCATTTCTAGTGCCAAATCTAAGCCATTGCAATTATTAAAAGCCCAACAGTTTTCGAAATGAAATTAAAACGACAGAAGCATCACATTCAAAGCAATTCGAGGACTTCCTATATGTGAGTGCTGGCCAAACAAGCGTTAAATTGAAATTATAGATTTTTTGGTTGGAGGGGCGAATAGAAGTTGTGGAGATGAGCTAGGAGGGGCGAATCGAAGGAAAAAATTCCCCAGCCACAGCGACGACGGCAAATGACAGTTGAACAAATTGAAATTGTCAGACATTTAAGGGAAATAAATGGCGAGCTTTAAAAGTAATGTCCGGGGGAATCCCCCACATCCGGGGATTGCGTGTGAGCAGGGAATTTACGCCAATCGAGGCATCGCATCACCCTTGGATGTGTAATTATGATAGTATCCAGCGGAGACCACCTTATCGGGTCTCAAGGAAAGCCCCATTCGTTTGCATAATTTCCAAGCATTTACTGGGTATTTTTTACCGGTCTTCCTACACCCGCATCGGTTCCGCCTTTTGCATTTATTGCGCCACTTACCTTTTGTGCAGATGGCCTGATAACGATCCGAGTCGTCCATGCTGCATTGGCATTCAATGGGGCATTTCCTCCGCGTGTTGCTGAACATCGCCGGCATTATGCACAGGCTGAACAGGAGCCACTTGAACAGCATCTGTCAAGGACGAGCAGCAGATTGGAAAGAAAAAGGAGAAAAAGGACACAAAGTTAGTTCAGCATCTCAGTCTGTGGCTAGTGAATGCAATTAGTGGTGGCTCTTTTACGAGGCTCTTATTTTTAGTTACTATTCTCCCATGAATACGTATTAATCTATGCTAATATCTTAGCGGTTAGGAACAGACTTATTGGAATAAAATTAAAGGGATCAAACTAAAATGCAAATTAGTAACCTTCGAACAACGTATGTTGTAGATAATATTTGGTTTTGCACATGATATTACCAGAAAGTCCTGGTAAAAATAAATCATTCTTTAAAATATTTTATAAAAAATTTTCAGAAACGGATTTAGTTAAAATGAAAAATATTAAAAAAAAACACATTTTTATATATCTTAAAAATATATTTTGCTTAACTTTTACTTTAAATATTTAATAGACTTCGACTAAAATCAAAGAATTAAATTAAATTAAATTAAATTAAATAAGGTACAAGCTATCTAAAAATATATATGTCTTACTTATTATTGCTTACTCCAACTTTAATTCTTTAAAGTGCAACAAAGATTGGGAACGGTTCAACCTGAAGACATAAAATATCTTACAATAATAAACCTTTTAGTTTCTTTCCTCTTAAGTGATTTTGCCCAAGACCAGGCCCTTACAAATTCCTATAATTATCCCCTTTTTAATTACATCGCCAGATGATTGAACGACTCGCAGAACTAATTTAACTCTTCACCTCAGTGCTTTCTGCTTTCAATTACCGCAGCTGCTGATCTATATATAAAGCCACACACTCCACCTAACAACCAGCAAAAGACCCATTCAAATTGAAATCAACGTGGTGTCACATGTTGACATGGTTTCAGCTGCTTCGGCAGTTGTTTTTCCACCATACTACATTTTTTTTTGTTTAAAGTTCAGTGGTTTTGTTACATAGTTTCGTTTTGTTTGGCTCGGCGTGTGTGTTAGGTTGCGGAGTGTGGCGTTGCGTATACGCCGTGTTGACCTCGGTGATTTGTGGTCGCCAGCACCAGGACACTGGCGATAAACTGTGGCTCTGGTCCTGTGGTCCCGATGCAGTCTAGCAGTCCAATGTGCTGCATAAATTAGCCGCAGCACATTGTGGTTGCAAAACAGCAGAAAAAACAAACTGAAAATCAAAGATTACAGCGGAAAATGCGGCAAGTAAATGCAGAGAAAGAAAATGAAGGATAGATAAAGCAGATACCTACTTTAAAAAATGAAAAGGTTGTTTTTTACATATTTTTTATTATTTATATACAAGATAGAGGATCTATATATTAAATATTTACTGTAATCATATACGAAATTTTCAGTTAAATATTCCTTGTTTTCAATTGTTTGATCTTGAAGGTGCCCTATTTTTTAAACCAATCTATTACAAATTGTTCGCTGTGAACAGATACTTTTTTGTGTGCCATGTTAACCACTTCCAATTTGCCTAAAAGCCAAGACCTGCGAATGCATTGGGAAATTAAATTTCGGCTTGGAGAACTTCTGGCTTGGACGCGTCGGCTTTTCCTTGCAGACTTTGGCCGGGGACATGCGAAATCCTGAGGATTTATGTGCAGCATATTTCTCATTTTACATATTTGGCACGATCGCAGCGGCAGGATGCGATGGCGGAAGGACCAAAGGAGTTGTCTGGCAGGCAGCAACTGTCAAGTTGCCGGCTCATAGTCGGCACCTTATGCATTGTGCTCGGTGGATTTGTTGTCAGGATATTGCCGCTGGGCCCGGCTGAGTAATATTCCCACAAAGTTGCTGCGGTAAAAGTGAAAAATTGCGACAGCCTCCGCCGCAACTCCGCCGTCAGGATGGTTTTTTCCACTCAAGTCGGCGAAAAGTTCCAAAGGCGCACTCTCAACTCTTTATTCGCACACTCACACCCAATTTAACGTGGCACATAATTCACAATAAAGTTCCCAAAAACTGCATTCAAAAATGGGAAGTTTTGTAAAATACGCAGTGCAAGCACCGCTCCACACGAATATAAATTCTTTTCGCATACGAGTGCCTCAAGGCGGAAATTTAAATTCAAATTGGGTGTCACACCTGGGAAATAATGTTGTGGATTTAGGGCACACAAATAAAATTTAATCGCATTATCGTGTTCTGTTGCATTTAAGCCCATGAAGTTTGGTGAAATATGGGTTTAAAGATACAGCTTAAGTTATAACATTTTCATTTAAAGGCAGTAGAAAGAAAGCTTTTTGTTTTGCATTTAAGAATTTTAGAAGACAAAGTGAAAAAAAAATCATTCTATATTTTCGAAATACTCTTATAAATATTTCAGGTAAAATAACATAATATATGTAGAGCCCCTATGTTAGTTTTAGTTTTGTAAACTTTTCTAACATATTTAATAAATAAATAAATAAATAAATAAATATGTAGAGCTCAAACTTTCTTTATATTAAAACTGCACTTTATCATACATTTGGAGGTCTACAAAAATGTAGTTCTAATGAGATGATAGCTTTGTTATGGAAATGCTTAAGTCCCAAATATTGTGAATTATTTTATGATATATATTTATTTTATTCTATCAAATATATTTAATACTTTGCAAATTATTAACCGCCAATGTGTGTAAAGATGAAAGTTTAATAAAATGTTAAAAATAAAATACGAGTATATTATTAATAGATTAAACCAGAGCACTAGTTTAATATCAAATTCATTGTAGATCCTGGGGAAAAGCTCTTCAGATCCGAAAACCAAAACTTAATCACACTCCCCTCGGTAAACCGGTTTCGGTTGAAGATGGATGGCCCAGAAATCAGCATCTGTCTGAATCGTTAGCCGCCGAATTTGGAGGCGGATTGGGGCCCACACACACTCTGGAGCAGGAACAACAAATACCCGGCCGGCAGCTGACGTCCTACACGCTCCACTTGGACTTTTGGCCAAGTTTGCAGATGGCGCACGCGAAGTGGTCGCGAATGGTGGAAAGTTGTGGGCCAGGAAGAAGGAGGATGAGGAGGTATCCTGAGTAGTTGTTGATATCGGCTTTCAGCAGAGAGAACCGTTTGCTATTTAAACATTGGCAAATTTGTTTGGCCCGCTGCCCACTCCGGAGGATAAACAGAAAGCCGGAAGCGAAAGCCAAGATGGATAAAATGGAGAAAGGGCTGAGCAGAAAATTACTCATACGCCTTGTGGAACAGCCGCCGGATGTGGCATTTAATACGTTCGCTACTTTTGTAATTGAATATGATAAATCAAAGGCAACTCTACCCGAAAAACCTCAGACCAAGCCGAAAGCGGAAGTGGTTGGAGCATTCCTTCCTCTCGAATTACACACACACAATAAACTCTCATTTGCCGGCCAACTGAACGGTATTAAATTTGCTTAAATTCAGGAGGGGATGAGCCGAGAAGCCGGCTCAGTTCAAAACCAAATAAATCTCAATACATGCCAAGGGAGGAAAATCAAATTACGTTAAAGTCCCGACAAGGGGGCTAGGGTCCCCATGAAGAAAATAAGCATCTGGCACAGCATTATGAATTATGCCCGATTGCGGGCGTGGCCGATTTGCGCCTTTCGCTGACCGACGAGGGCAACATTAAAATTCATGAACACATTTATTGCCAATTACTGCAAGGCCCCCAAAACACGTTTCACATAAATGTAGATATATATATATATACAGCACACAATTTGGCATGAAGGGCAAAAATCGCAGGTCAGAACGCCCCAAACGGAATCGGTGGTAACAAAATAAATTTCGGACTCCGTTTGGCGGGATTTTTTGTCGGCTTGGCTTGCCAAAAGTTTTTTTATCCTCCGCTCACATAAATTGATAAATTAGATTTACGCTCGAGAAATTACATTACAATATAATATATATTTCCGACTGAAGATTTGTTTTTTATTATTTTGTTTGGGTCGGTCCTTTTGTTTAATGCCCCACCAAATTATTTTAAAGCCTGCGTATATTTCATACATCGGATTTTGATATTTCGACCTGCCATTTAATTTATGGCTTTCATACGCTCAAGTTTTTTGTTGGCAGCGGCTTTTAAATTATAGCCATCATCAGTGCGGCTCGACGTGGAAATGGCGGGTGATTTACTAAGCAAAAACTGTTGATTTGGCGAAATTTTATTTAAAAAATCATATTCAATTGCGGATTAATATGAAAACAATTTTTTGCCCGCCTGTGGTTATAAATTTCCTTTGGAAAATAAGTCGGGCACAAATTGGGACTTAAAGCAAGGGTTGCAACCATATTTCAAATCTGGTTAATCCGAAAAGTATACCATTTGAATATTTAGCACTTTGGTTTCGCTCGCCAAATTTAGCCATTTGAAAGCGTTACGTGTGGCGAGCTGGATAACAATTTTTTTTATCAATTTCCAGGAACAAACTCATGGCTCGCGGCTTTACAATAAGCTGCACGGATTGAAAAAGTGGCGATGGCGATGTGTGATTATGCCTAGCCGGAATACACTTTGAAAATTATGGTAACATTTTGCAATGAATTAATATTATTTGAATATTGAATAATATTGAATAATTATATTGTACTATTATATTACTGTCTTAAAATCTTACTTACAAAAGTGTTTAAGTGTATGCAACAATTCATTTTAATTTGGTGTCTAAGAGTATGCAACAATAAATTTCATTCGGGGGACGATGATCATTTTTTACTGCATAGTTTTAGGCGATTTAATAGGTTATTTCAAAATCGTTTGTGATCCCTCAGTTAATATGAAATGTATCTTATTTTTTTATTGCTTATTGGAAATAGTATTACTCTGCCTTTTCTTATAATGTATACCCCAATATAAGTCCTTGCTCAAAAATACATTATTAACTAAGCCTTGCTTTTGATATATAATTTTGTATAACAATCCTAAATTAACTCTTTATGTGTCTTCGATCTTTTGCTTTTTGTAAAGTGTAGGAGTCTATGGAGGAGCTGGAAGACCCAGATGATAGACACAAGGCTGCATGGTCAC